AAAATCTGTATAAATTAATCAAGTATTTTGAGAGTATCGATCATAATATTTAAAGGTTATTTTTTCTATTATGTTATTATTGTTATTAACTTTTTAATAATTATCGGTGCTTATGAAATAAAATAAAAGTTCACTCCAAGTCTCGGGCTTCTCAGACTATTTTTGGGTTAGGACAAAATTACTAAGGATTACGAAGGTATATAATTTAACACCGTAAAATGTATAAGTATATAACAGTATACAACCGTACAGATATTGGGCAGTTCTTTGTGCGATATTCAAATTTTCTAAAAAAAATATTAGTTTTGATAACCTAAATTACTATCAAGATTCGAGAATAATACATCATAATCTATATATTATGATATTTATTTTTTATTAGTTACCTAGCAATATAGGTAATTACATAAGAAATAATTGAAACACATAAAAACATGTACTGATAAAAGCCAATCTATAATAATGAATTACCAACATAGCTTTCTCATTCTAAACATATTTAAAAATAACAAATTATATTCAAACAGCCAGGAAATTGGAAACAAAATCAAATTATAAAATTGTTGGTCGTTGAACAACGAATAAAAATGTATTCAGTTATTGTTTTATTTAATTTGGTAACTCTATACCAATTTGTACAACCTATATTATAATCTAGGTATAATGTTATATTATGTCAATAGATCTGTAATATATATATATTATGTATTATATACTTGCTATTTGGCGAGTGAAATTCACAAATTTATATCGAACAGTTACATAACGGTTATATAACAGAATCGTCGAGAAATAATTAAAAACGTACCCTTATAAAACATGAATAATGTCGAAAAAACCTTTCCAGTAAAAATAAATCATACTATAATAATACGTTTCCAAATAGAATCCCGAAATGAAACATTTCTATTTACATCGTAAAATACTTATGTAATGTCATAGGCGTGCGCACGGGAGGGGCAGGGTGGGCAGCTGCCCCTCCTGCGGGCTCAAGTTTTCTTACAAAATAACAAAGTTTTTAAAAAAATATTATAATACAGTTTTATATAATGAATATTATGTAAACATTGAGTGCTCGATGTACAGTGCACGATGATTTTATGTTGTCCAACTTTAAGCGAACCACAAGCGATACCGCGGTGATAACGAGTGCTTATAATCTTATTATAGCATGATGTAGATTGAGATGTGATGAGACATGAAAGTGAGTAGTAATTTGACGGCATTTAATGCGAAAAACGTTCACCGGAAGCGCTAAGAAGGTCGGTTCTTTAAATAATTAGTAATTAATAATTATAATAATTAGTATGCAGTATACGAACAAATATTATAGCTCTTTACTTCCGAAGCAATTTTCGGAATTTTTAGTATTTTAGTATTTTTATGCTCAACGTGTTGATTAAATCAGAATATACCTATCTTTTTTTTTAATGTGGTGTTTTATATTGAAATTAATTTTCTATTTATACTGTAACCTACAAATCAAATTGTTTATTATATACCTAATACTATTAAATACCTATAAAGTATAATTTATAAAACAGTTTAAATAATAGGTTACATGCCTACAATAATGTATAAATTTCAATATTACCAAAGAATAGAATATTATTGATACATTAATGCATGATATAATAGTGGTACTATTTTTGGAAAAATCATGTAAATGCAATACTAAGGATTTAAATTTTTTTTTAAATGTTGATATTTATAATATGTTCAACGTGTTGGTGCAAATAATAATTTACCTATCTTACTTACTTTTTTTGTAATTGTAAATAAAAAGTAAGTAGAATTAGTAAATTCAGATTTCACCAACACATCGGGCATAAAAATATATATGAATGCAGTGGCGGATCCAGGGCTTAATTTTGGGAGGGGCATGGGGGGCTCAAAAGTATATGAAAGTTCCAAAATTGGCTAAACACAGTGTAAAACAAAGGAAAACTACGGTTATTGGGGGGGGGGGGCAAATGCCCCCTTTGCCATCCCCCTGGATCCACCACTGTATGAATGTAATAATTTTCTTTGTTCATGTATATTAATATAATATAAAAAAACTTTGGAGTTTCAATTACTATATTAAATTTGTAGTTATTTGTAGTTTTAATGATACATAAAATGAAAATACTTCCATCACTTACATTAATTGAACTAATAACCAAAATAATATTTACTTACCTATATATTATATAATATACCTATAGGTACATTATTACATTCTGCCCCCCCTGCCAGCAAGGTCTGCGCACGCCTATGTGTAATGTATTGAGGAGTGAAAGAGGCCGCTGTGAAACCAGTGGGAGTGTCTCGTTCCTGTACATTAATGCATTTTATGGTATTCAACCCTTGTGTAAGCGAATAGGATAGGTTTAATCATGAATTATTGATAATATTATTAGTGATTACTTTTATTTATTCCCCCGACAAAAATGTAATACTCTTCGAAATGACTAGAGCCGGGATTTATTTGCATTGGAATGTTTTTTTTTTTTAGTTTTTTCAGACATTTGGGTTGGTTAAGTCCACGAATATTGATACAAATAATCTATTTGCATATTTTAATTTTACTAACACGAAAATAGCATGCTTTATGGTGTACTTATCTAAACGAAAGTAGTATAAAGTCTAGAATCTAGACAACAGTGACGCTCCTAATTTATATTGCATAAAAACAGTAATTTTGTCATTGACGAAAAAAAAATCTAAAAATGTAAAAGTAAGATTAGTATAAAAAACTTAGCTAAATAGTACACAAATAGTAACTATTTAATTTGAAAATTATAAAGATACTCTTCTCTTTCACTTAATGATTATTCGCAAATTATTCTCAATTTTTTTTTTGTATATTTTAGAAAATTACAACAAAATAAAATGCATATACATGTATATATTACCATTTTATATATTTTGTATAGGAAAATTCAACAATATTCGCTATTCCTATTCAATTTCAACCTTAACTCTAGGACCTTTGAATTTCGATACCACACGACTGAAATACAACTTTATTGTAGAAAATAAAATAGTGTTCCGTTATAATGTGTATCTGCGATGACCGAAAACATACAATCAAACAAATTGGCTGTACATCACTGCTACCGCTCTACAAACGATAAATGATATGTGTGTCGAAATAAATGAATACGTTTTCTTCGATACTTAATGTTTTGGGAGCAACAATCGAGACGTCTTGTATGCATTGACTGCATTCTTTATCGATGTTTATGCATTTTTCGTGGTAAGGAGGACTTACATAAACATGTATCATTTTACCAACGAGTTTTCTTTTTAATTAAACCGTATAGCTACGGGATACCATGGGCAGGATTAAAGTATTGCGGGGGCTAACATTATCCATTTAACCTGTTCTCCGATTATTATTTACACGATCCACGAAAATTTCAATCACTGGGGGTGGGGGTTTTAAAAATGTATAGGCCGCCGGAAATCCAGGCGGATATTGGACGATGAAGACGACCGATAACATTCCATGATAAAAAATGTCATCTGTAGATTATCCTCGATCGCCCCCAATGATTCTACGCGACGACTAAACTATCGCGAAAAATACAAATATTTCAAATCGAACCAAAAATAATGATTGACAGCCGACGGATGATTACCGTGACGATCAGAAAAATATTCGACAGATGGAAATATAAACTCGTGGCTCTACCTATAAACGTATGAAACCACCCTTAAACCGTTTCTCCCTCGGAGTAAACAAAAGTAGACTTACCACCATGCACGCGAGTGTATAGATAGCGCCCGAACACTCGCCAGCGGATGCTCGCCGATTCGTAAAAGTCCGTCAGTCGACTAAACCGAATCAAACGAGAACGTCGCAAGCTTTCCCGGTAAGAATTATAACACGTGCGTGATAACAAAATTATTATTTTTTTTTTGTTTTGTAAATATTACTGTATATTGTGTACCGACTTACCATCATACATATTATGGTTATACGTATAATCGGTAGCGCACACAATATAATATTATCATCGTTCGAGGGTTTCGTGTGTTTGACGTTTAATATAGGTACGATTCTTTAATTTTAGAAAAACTTATTTGCATATCATAATAATAAGAGGCTATTCGATTTTACACTGTTGTACGGCGTAGGTTATATATAATTTATACTATAGAAATCCTTGAAATTAATAATCCGTATATAGGTGTTGCACATAATGTCAGAATAAATCTACGCATAAAAGGGTTGTAAATAAGTAGGTTCTCGTCGCGTTACGGACCTCCTCAAACGATACCATTGACCCAATCACGAAATACCGTGATAACGGCATCGTGAGGTGTAAGGGTTTTGTGTATTGTGTATTAATAGAAGGTAGTATTATTAGTTAGGTATTGATAGTAGGTACAGGTGCAGTACCTATATATTGTATACAAGTTGGCTTTACGTTCGTCCGTCGAAAGGAGTTATAGGTATGTCGTCAACTCTAATAATAATGATTGTGGCGAGGATAATATTGTAACTGAAAAACATGAACAATTGCCAAATCCTGAACAACGGCCGGGAGAGAACGAGCGGCGGAGACTTGAAATTGAATAAAAAGAAAAACCTAAAGCGGACCGACGAGAGCGAAATCGTTATCAGCGATCGGTAATAAAACACAGCCAAACACGTGATAACGAAAGTCGGCGTCGTGGTTATCTCTTCGCGCGACGGTCTGGATTTATTGATTTTTCCGCGGCGGTCTAGATTCCGAGGCGCCGGTCCGTTCGGCGGTGGCGGCGGCGTCAACGGCGAACCCCGGCCGCCGCGCCATCGTTACTGTGTGTGCACAACACGGCGTCTGGCCTCGTTATTCGCGTTCGCCCGGTGGTGTCGCGCGCGGGGGGTGCACCACTGTTGTTATTGTTGTTGTCGTCGTCGTCAGCGCCGACGGTATATAGTTCAAGCGGTCACCACGACCACGGGATATCGCGGTAATATTATCATATAATATATCGTCGTCGTCGTAGAGCCGGTCGTCACGATCATGCCGAAAAAGAAACCGATACCAGTAGAAGATCTGGTGGTGCCGCCGCAGGACACCCGGATATGCGGTACGATATGCGTGTGCCAGATGACGGCCGTGCTGAGCAGCGTGGCCATCGTGTACCTGACAGTGGCCATATACATGCCGACCATGCGGGAGTTCAAGTCGGGCATATCGGAGGACCCGGTAGTGTGCACCACCACCAGGAACGTGTCGTCGCAGAAATGTGACTGGAGCTCGTGCAGCGAATGGTGCCTGAGCAAGCCGTCCGGCGGCTGCGCGCAGATCTACGTCAACATCCGGCAGAACGGGTCGGCGCTGCTGCTGCACAACTGTTCACACGTTGTCAACAAGACGTGCTTCGGGTTCGACCCGGAGAACGCCAAGCGGTACACGTGCATCCGGGACGAGTGCAAGACGCTGACCGGCACGTTCAACTGCACCGACGGCGTGTGCATAAACATCACGGACGCGTTCCGGTGCGAGTTCCGCAACACGGAGCCGCCGCTCAAGTGCAACGAGTACCGGGGCAAGATCACGTGCATGGCCATAGCGGGCCTGAACAGCTGCCTGCGCGGCGAGTGCAGTCGCATACTGGAGCCGTACAACTGCGACCGAAGGTGCGTGGACATACCTACCAGGAACAAGAACGTGATCGTGCTGAGCGGCGACCGGACGTTCTTGGCACGGTGCGACGCGGCCGCGCACCTGCCCGGTTACATGGACGGCGACCCGTTACCGCGGGAAGTCGAAGACGGCGGCGGTGGCATCATCGAAACCGAACGGCGGCGGCGGATATGGTCCGAGGAACAGGACGACGTGCTGATTGCGTCGTGCATGAGCGTGGTCCTGGGAGGGCCACCGGGGGATCTGCTAGCCACGGACTGCGTCAACGGATCGCTACTGCGGCAGGACGTGCTGGCCGACTTTGCAAACTTCTCGCACCTAACCAACCTGAACGCGCAGAGCGACAGGCCAATCGTGGCCGGTGACGTGGTGGCGCCTCGAGAACACAAGCTACTTATTGCCAAGGACAGTCACCTGCACATCAACCTGGAGGGCTGCGTGAACACGCTCCGCGGCGAGTGCGACGTGTTCATCCGACGGTTCGGCAAGGACGGTTCCGACCACAACGCTCGGGCCCGGTTCCGGTGCTTCTACGCCACCGGCATACCCGAGCTGGCAGTCGTCCGGTTCGACTTGGGCCGCACATACAAGGAGTTCCTGGTGGCGTCTGTGGTACCGGTGGTCATGCTCGTCATATCGTGCTTGACGCTCATCCTGTGCCAGCGAACTGTCGAGGTGGGCGACGACGCCAAGATGCGGTTCAAGCGTAAGAGCATCCGGACGCTGTTCCCACTGCACGACCGCGAGCTGGACAGCATCGCCGGCCGCCGGCCGTCCACCGTCGACCTGGACAACACGTCCCTCTGAGATTCGCTACGTGAGTACAACACTGAATAGTAATATCATATATTTTTGAGTCATGCCTGCAGTCGTTAGTCGACAGCATCCTGTCCATCCAGTGTACTTTGTCACGGGCGCCTTTCCGTTGGGCCCTGCCTTTTTACGAGCCGTTTTCGATATTATGAATCGGTGTAAGCCAATGATCTAACTATACATAGTATATTATATATTATTACCCTCTTGACTCTTCAAAAGATTACATTTTCTGCCAGTATGATATTGTTTTTATCACCATAACCTTTTCCTTTATTTTTAATGAAAAGGTTAATAAAATCTCTGATCTTGTATTACGAATTCTTGTATTTGCAAATTTTTTCAAAATTAAAAAAAAAATGTTTTCAATTTATTACACAATTGTTGTTCTTGCGGCGCAGCTCCATTTACAACCCAATTTTCCGTCCGACTCCGTTGACGCCACCCCGACTATATTTTATTCTATTGTAGGTACGTTATTATATGTACCAAGTAATTGTATTATGTCCGCCATGACTCTAGTCTCTAATATACGAGCGCTATTACTTATTAATATATTATACGTCCAGGATACTATTATTACTTATTTAATATTGTGCAATTATTTTACTTCGTTTGATTGACCATGTATTTCGTTTCTTTTTCCAGGCATTCCCCTCTTGCAAGATAGCCCTACTCGTCAGCAACAGATGTATTCGTTGCCAGACTACTAGAGCTTACATTTCACCAAGATCCGGACAGCTTACATAAAAAATAAGCTTCGTACACAACACAAATCCGGATCGGTGAGGGGAACGCGTGATTGTTAAAATATGAAAAATAATTGTTACTAGTGAGATTAAATTGTATTCACTCGTTTATATATAATTCATTGCATCTCGAAAATTCTGCACATAAATTACATTTGTGACTTGACACATCCTTACGACGTCGCTAAATTTTTAAAATATATATTTTTTTTATACACTCGATGCCTAACACACACGATACAATTAAACAATAAGCTTTATGGAATCTTATAGGTATATGCGCGACAAGACACTTTTGCAGTACTTTAAACTAATTAAAAGCAATATCACCAAAAATATAATGATATACTAAATTATTGTATACGAACAGTGTAGATGCGCATATATATATATATATATATAATGTTATATTGTAAGATACAATTTTTAAATAATAAATTATTCAATATTAAGTCTATAATATACTCATTGTAATTTATGATTGTATTGTTATTATATTATAATATACGTTAAATATTGTTATAATTTATACAATAATGCATGTACGTCCAATATATTATGTTCACACGAGCGTTTCTAGTGGTATAAGTAGAACGTAATTGAATACTAGGTATGTATTATAGTTTTAAAACGATGCGCTTGTAGACGAACATTTGTAAATCTATGTATTCTATAATGTATATTGTATATTGTATTATTTACGTTGTCGTTCTTCTGTATGAAAATCTCGACCACCGGTATCAACAAAATATGGTCAAGAACAATGTGATATGCACCAATTTCGTACACGAGATCAAACACGCATATGCTATATAATAATATTGTTAATATTGATGTATAACCTTAGACATTTTTTATAACAAATAACTTATATAAAATAAATATATTCGATATAACTATATATGTACGCATAATTGCTGTTGCTTAACAATAGTGAAATCAACGTAAATTATACTTATAAATATATTATACAAGATAAATTATTATATCGTTATAATGTTTTATTACAAAGTACTTAACGTTATATGGGTGCTAGGAGTTGTTGGTCTTAAAAATGCAACGCAACTCTTTTTGAAAATTCTGAAAATGTACCACGTAAATACCTATTATTAAAATGAGTAGGTACCAAACGCAAATTTTAGTATAAATTAGCATAAATTAAGTATATTTTTCAAAGTAAAAAGTTGAATGTATTTCTAAATGTTTATATTTCACGTATTACTGTAGAGTAGAGGTATTTTACATAAAAAATTTAAAGTTTAAAAGTTTAAGAGTATCTACTGAAAAATTCACATCGAATGAAGTCGATAATTATTCAAAATCCACTTAAAAAAAAAATACTATTGTTATTATTTAATTTGTTTCATTACTATGGATTAGAAGAATACATGTGGAATCGTGAAGGACGAGATTCAGAAATAATCGATTGAAAATCGAAGTCAATAAATATCATCTCGATTAAATCTGAAATTCCCTTGTGTTGTGACACGAAATTCGATTGATTGCTTATGATAATATACAGATTTATTTAACGAGTAAACTCGACCACATTTTATATTTAAGTTATGAAATTTTTAAAATTCTGATTCATGGAATTTTTAGTAAGACCGTACTCTAAAATGTCCAAACACTTTTATAATATTATACGTATTCTGTACACATGGCTTCAGATACCTACCTATAGGTACATCACTAATATCAGCCGACCACCGTCGAATTATGTACCTAATCAACACGAGTGATTTTATTTTGTCCCCCACAGATAGCGACTAGGAAAAATAATGGCCGAAACAGTCGCAGACGACGAGAAGGAAATGCGGAGCCGACTGCCCAGCCAGGACGAAGGATCGAGACTGCTCGGCGAACCGGCCGAGGATAGCTTCTGCGAGCGCATCAAGCCAAAAGTGAGCCTGTGCCTAGGCACTACGGCCGTGCTGTCGTTCATGGTGTTCCTGTTCCTCGTGCCTTTTGTGGTCGACCCGGCGGTGTCCCGGCTGATCGCCCGGTACGCGCCCGAGCCCGGGACGTGCGCGCTGCATGAGCACGTGTTCGCCGCGGGACTGAGCAAGTGTACATGGTCGTCGTGCCGGGAGGGCTGCACGTCGGCCACCACGCGGTGCCATCAGATAACCGTCAACTATTCACTGACGCCGTACCAACAATACGAACAGGCACGAAACCGTAGGGTGTACACTTAGAAAATATTAGGTTTAGGTGGTTTTTTTTTAAGACATTCGTGGAATTTTTTTTCCAAATGAAAATAAACTGTACATATAGAGATATAGACAGTAATGATAACGAAAACAATGAATCCAAAATTCAACATCTATATAGGTTATCAAACACGGTCATCAGGTGCAGGGTAACACCGCTGTCTATTGACGACTGACCACGAAATCCGCTCATGTTTTACGATAATAGTTTTGATAGGTACCAAAAATAATCACTTTTTGAACTGCAGATTAAAAAATATACAAGAAAAAGACATACAATAAATCCTTGGCTGAGGCATATGGATGAAGTTAAATGTTTAAAATTATAATAAAAAATATATTCGTATAATAGATACTTTAAAAACAAATATTTTTGTATTATATTATTTTACAAGCCACGACTTGAATAAGAAAATGTCTAAATAGCTCAATTATTATTCTTAATTTTATATCGTAAAATAAGACTAAAACGTGTAACACATTTTCGTGTATGTTTTCATTTAAATATTAGTTAAATACAAATCGGCATCTTTAATTATTTAATTCCCAATAACCACACCAAGACGACAAATGGGTATAACGACAGAAAAGTAACCATCAAATAAATTGTATTCATGAGATAATTGAGACAATGGAAATAAATTCATAAAAAAACCCGAAGGAATAGGTATGTGTTGTGTATCTGACAACGTAACTTAAAAAGCTCATCTATAAGCTAAGTACAATGAATGATAATAAACAAATATTTGATACGAAAAAAACAAATGGTGAAAAACAAAATTAATGAATTAAAATATTGTAAGAGTTTTAATGTTTAAAACGATTGATCGATTTCTGGCTGTTTTTGAGTTACGCTAATTAAAATGAGCTTTTAATTTCTGTGAACGACGCGAAACGACTAAAATATATTATAATACTTTTCGTCGATGCCTAAACAAAACCGTCGTAAAAATAAATAAATTATGTGGTGGAACCGAAGCCGGTAACCAATAAATTTATATTATTAAGTTGTACCTACTGGTATAATCTGGTAGATTTTCTTTGTTATATTAGAAAAACTACTACTATACTCCTGCAGTTAGAAATTTAACACATTATTTTTATAAAATATAATTCATGTATAATTTAAATAAAAATTCACAAGCTCCAAAAGTATTTTAAATCAAATCAAACTACTATGAATTTTAATTCAAATTATTTATACACATATTGTTTTCTGATATATAACAATAATACACCTATCAACTCACTTAATGTGAATGCTTTATTATTTTTATTATTGTTTATAATATTTTATTCAAACAAAAATAAAATAAACAAAATAATTTAATTCTATAATCTCTCTGTTTATCGATCGCTCTTACTCATAATCACTAACATTTTATAGTAAAAATAGTAAGATACTTTTTATGAGACTATAAAAACTGATGAATTTTGATGTTTGACTTGCGGTTAGATAACAAATAAGTGTATTACACATTGTCATCTAATAATAACGTTGTATCCAAGGCCAAAAATCTCGAGGGCCGCTAAAATTTTGGGCTGGTAGGAGAAAATAGCCGCAGTACCATTTTTTATTACAGCTATATTATATATAATAGTATAATATTGTCAACAAATTTGATAAGGTCATTAATATTAAAATTTGACCATATGCGCCGAAAAATAATTCTCAACCGAGACTACCCATCCGGCCCCGAGTTGCGGCAGTAAATTTAAAAATCAATATTAACTACTATTTTCTAAATACACCGATTACATGACGTCGTAACGAAGTCTTTTGGATTGTTGCAGGACCACATGTCTCCCGAGTCGCTGGAATGGGCGGGCACGGCGGTCCGGTTCCTGGTGAACACCGAAGGCTGCGGTTATCCGCCGTTCGTTAACTGCAGCACGTTCGCCCATAGGTACGGCCACATAAGTTTGGAGGACATCCTCAAGTTCAATGACATCGACCAGCCGATGATCCAGGAACTTTACAGGCACGGTAACGAGACATCGCTGGGGCTGCCTCCGCCTCCAATGTTGTTGGAGGGCTCTGACGGCACGCTGCAGACGACGGCAGTTGACCGCCGGGAGAGAGAAATTTCCGCCGTGGCGCCGGAAGTCGCATTAAAAGTTTTCCCGTGTTACTACAGCCGTGCTTACCCAGACAGGGTGGTAGCCGACTACGACTGGCACCACACCATCAAGACTCTGGTGGCCGCCGTCGTCATACCCTGGACACTGTTCGTCCTGTCGTGCACGGTACTGTGTTACTGGTACTGTCCGGCGCTCAAAAGGGAGTTCATGATCGACAAGAGAAAGACAGCGGCAATCAAAAACGAAAACCCGCAACTAGTGATCAGGTGAGCATCTCTTTTTTCTTCGTACGTAGACAGTCGGCAGGAAATCCTAGAGTGCTGATTCCCAATAAGCGTCTTCCCGTCTCGTCACTAATGAACCTATGGCACAGGTACCCAAAGGCGTCACATTGGCCAAATTTTAACGGCACGCACGAATATTTTTATTTCATTGTTTAATCTTCGTCAAATTAAAATAATTCTTTATTATTATGAAGTTATGAATTATAAGAATTTAAAACTCACTACCTATACCTACTTTCAAACATAATATTTTAGACTTTAAAAAAAGTGGCTCATTACAAATAAACTTAATATTTGAGTAAAAATACACGTGAAAGTTTATTGTCCACAGTGAATTATTCAAAATCAAAAGAAAAAATATTTATATAATTGGATGGAGTTAAGACATTGAGGGCAAACAAAGTCCACAACTAATATAAAAGAATTATCTATCGGTCCTATGAACATATTACTGGCACGTGAATTTTTCTTAAAACTTTGATTACAAAATGTTGGCACGTGGCCTGAAAAAGGTTCGCAACCCCTGCAGTACCCATGTATAGGCTGTATTGTTTTCAGTTGGCGATCACAATTCGCGACCTTAATAGACTTCGCATGTCCGTAGAAACACTTTTATTTTCCGACTGAATATCCTCGATGCTATATTAGCCCGGATATCTTCTATCTATCTCGACAATGACAGCATTATACTGAAAACCAACACTAATATACTATATAATTTGTTTAACTCTTTTACAAGCGATTAATCTATCCGATCAAGATAATGTAACCATGTGAAATACGACGATCGCACACAAGTTTTAAATAGTTATATACTTGTAAAATTTCGTCTACCGTCGTGCCACACAGCACACGCGAACGAATCAAACTCAAAATTGCACTATAAAAAAATAATTGTTCACATAAATGTAATAACAATAATAATAATAAATAATAATAATACCCAACGAGCCATACGAAAACAAGAAAATACACTGCAAACAAACCGAATGAAATGTATTTCATAAAATTATTATACCACTCCTTGTATACGTCTGACATTAAATTAGAGTTACATTTATTATATATTTCTAACAACTACATACATAGTACTCAACTTATATATTATTCATTCGACAATAACGACAATTTATTGCCGTCGACGATGCTATAATTTTAAGTTTAATGTCCAACATATCTACTCTTATTTATACTACAATCTGTACGACTGTATAAAAGATAATTTCGTAATAACATTTTTGAAAACATTCCAAACTGAAAAATAAAAATCACTGTATTCAGCTTTTAAATTTAATTAAGTAAAGAAATGGAAAGTTTTAAACACTATATAAACCCAATTAGTTTTTATTAACTTTTATATTAAAACCGTTCCATCTATGTTTTTTTAAGAATAAAAAGACTTTTACGATAAGTAATAAAGAAAATTACGCAACAGTGCAACACAATATACATTTAAACAATCTCTGTACCTTTAAAACCAAAAATTATATACAAGTATAATATTATATTAAATGTAAAATTAATAAAATAATTAATACAGATGACTCATAATATGCTACACCTACATAATATGCAAAATAAATTAATTTCAAAAAAAAAAAAAGGTGGGTAAGTGGATGTCGCTCTGCTGTACAGTAGGTTACAAGTGGGTCACTGTATAATGGATGCTATTAAATTTGAATTCAATGATACAATATCATTGTATAAGAAAAACGATTCTGAGCGAAGACGGTATGTCAGTCTAGGTTTAATACAAATTATATACATATATCTATGGTATTAAAAAAAAAATTGACCTATAATAAATTCCAAATTAATCATATCACATTATCAAAATATTCATTAGGTACTTATAACACGTTATACATTAACATCAATAACAAACCCTGATACTATCATATATATATAATAGTACACTTTAGAAGTTTCAAGTAGGTACCCACGAATAATATTATATAATCACAACAAAATAACTAGGTTTTTTAATATGTAATTTCGTCCAAATTTGAACATAAAATGACTATAAAAATAAACTGTGATTGTATATTTTTTAGATTTTTCGGTAAGAGAATTAACTACTTACGTGGAATCTTGTTTTAAATTTTAAATCCTTAGCTATAAAAACTGAACATTTTATAATTTATTAATTACGATGATTAATAATTTTCGAGATTTTGAAAATTCTATCAAAATTCGATGTTAAAATGCTTATAAAAAAAAATTGTGCCTATGTATTTTATATATTTTTCAACTGATATTGTAACAATATATCAGGAGTCTTGTATTAAATTTTTACACTTTTTGGCCCAACAGATAAAACTTAATTGATATTTATAGAAAAAAAAAACTAAAAAAATTGAAAACTGAAAATGTCCGTAAACGGCTCAAAAAGTGTCAAAATATTTTCAAAATAGTAGGGTGTATAGGAAATGCTAATATAAACATTCAGTGAAATTTTCATGTATCTACAGTAATTCGTTTTTAATTACAACAAAAAAGGAAATTGCCACATGAGAAATCGAGTGAATATCCAATGTTGTAAAAATTTGAATTTCAAACGCTCATAAAAATTTAATTTGACTTTCCGGTAGAAATTTTTTTATTGATAAAGGTAGACAATCTTATGAATAATCTTGTATTAGATTTTCAAATCTTAGATTTAAAAAGAAAAATTTTTACGAATTCTTAACTCAAAATAATTTGCTAATTTTCGTGATTTTTCCATATTTTGTCAATTTTTGAACTTTAAATGCTTATAAAAAAAAATTGTGACTAAGGATTTTTAATATTTTTCATCTGCCTTTGAAACAATATATTAGGAGCCTTCTATTAAATTTTCAAGCTTTCGCAACCAACAAATAAAATTTTATTGATATTTCTAGAAAAAAAACTAAAAAAAAACGAAAAATGAAAATGTCCCTAAACAAGTCAAAATAAATCAAAATATTTTGAAAATGTTATCGTGTATAGAAAATGCAAATATAAACAACCAGTGAAAATTTCATGTATATACGTTCATTTGTTTTAGAGTTACACCAATAACCAAAATTGATTTTTTGGAAAATCGACTTTGCGTAAAAATTCCCGTTTTTCCTTAATTTTTATGTTGTTTTTCCCGGCGCTTGTGAAAACTACTGGGAAATTTAAATTTTGACCTCCCCAATGCACCAACGATATTCACTTTCCAATCGAACAAGATACTGAAGTCGAAAATCGATGCATTATTTCGACTACTTATCGTGTACACAGATACAAAAAAAATAAAAAAATTAAAAAATAAAAAAATAAAAAATAAAAAAATAAAAAAACACACATCATTGTAAAATCAATACATTCATCGTTTCACTCAGAATCTAATAGAATTTTAGTACCTGCCAATAACCCATTAATGATGCTTATAATTAAAAAAAAATTAATACTGGATTTAAGTTATTAAACTTTTTCCAACTAAAATTATAAAAATAGAAAGATAGTAAATGATTTTCATATTACACATAATTAAAAATAAATAAATAAATAATTTATCTTTAAATAGTATGTATAGCGTATAATATTATTATATAAAAAATTATATCATTATTTGTTATTTAACAGAATAATGTTCTATGTATTGTAAAGATTGTCGAAAAGTATACATATAATTTTACCTCAAATATGATTTACAGGAGAAAATTGTCCAAACGGCCATTCAGCACAGACGAAGAAGATGGTGAATTTTGATCAATATACCCACACATTTGCTATTTAATAATGGCTTTTTTCAGGCACAGAAGCGAATGCTAAATTTTCAGTTCACTGATTCGGTCTAACTACGTTTATACTTGCATTTGTATTCTGCTTTAACTTCACACGAATCTAATTTTAATAATTGTGTACGCCAAAAATTATTTTCTATCTTAAAAATATTTTTTTTAAATTACTTATAGAGTTTATAATTGTTTACAAAGCCTATACAAAAGCTAATTGCTTTAGTCATAGCTAAATGAATTATTTTTTATACATGTATATTTCACTTTTTATAATAATAGTTTATATATACATATAATTACTATACATACATATTATTATAAAATATATTATACGCTTCTTGTTCATAAATAAATTGTTTATATAATACCCTACATATATATATATATATATATGACTGATTATATATTATAATATATTAGCTGTTTATCAAATACACTATACGGTTAAGAAAAATTATTGAATTTGAATACACCCCCCCCCCCCTTCACCAAATTTCGACTATCATCCCACACTTGAATGAATACAGATAGATGCAACGCCCTATAAAACTGTGTATCGTTTTGATCGCACTGTACTGTGATGTATATATTTAGGTACCTACTGGCTGTATTGATATTGTTTACCACTGCAGCTAGCATAATGCTTACATTAATTCATTGAAACGTTCAACGCGAGATCGTCTTAAACACAATCGATTTGACCCAGTACAAGAGAGGGGCTGACATGTACAGAGAGAAAAAAACTTCCACCAGGGTTCGTTGTGGTTGGGACCCTTCCCCGCTGGCGGCATCGAATAAACAGGGGAGTGTCACTCTATCGGAATTACGTGTTCCGTTCAAATATGTTTTCGTAATGCAACAGTTTTCGACTAGACATCTATCGGCATACATGTACGGGTAAATTAAAATCGTACAATCGACATGGAATAACTATGATGCCGATCAACGGTAAAACAGTTTCCAATATACGTAATTTATGCAACGAAAAAAAAACCAGATAAATAACAATTCTAGTTAAAATATATTTCCATTTTGATATGCTCCAAAACATACGATCGAATACTCAAGAAACGAACAAAACTGTAAGTATATACACTATTATGTATAAAATTATCTATAATATGTGTGTTTTGTGAATTGTGTGTATACTGATAGGTATTGTATGTGTGCAATATGACGGCCACATGATAGTATTTTAATCACAAGCATACCTTGTGTTATCAACATTATAATCTTTCACTGGAGAATAAGTGAAAAGTCATTAATACTTATGAATTGTACAAATTTCGATGATAAAAATGTACATTAAAATGATGATGTTATATTAATCTAAATTATGTAATTTAGTCTCATCCGTTTAAAATTATTAAAATAAATAAATAATAGTAATGTTGTGAATTTAAATCATAATCAAAATGTATGTCATATTAAGTACCTACTACTTGGGGTAAAGAACATTAACAATTTAAATAATCTAATTATACAAAATATGTAGTGTTGATAAAATGTCATTAAAATATTTATACTTATTATTATTATTCATTAATATTTTCTAATTGTATTTAGTAAAAAAATGTTTGGATAGTTTGCAATTTAACAATTTTTAAGATTAATTAGTTCGTGTTTAGGGGTTTTAGGAAAATATTTAAGTTTTTACTGCATACAATATTCACAGACCTGGTAATAGTAAATAATATGATATTTTAACTTTTAAGATAAAATATATTTTGTGTATCTAAAGCCTACAAAATATAATTTTCATCTTTTAAAGTACGACAATTTTACTTTTTAGAGTTTCATTTTTACACTGTTTTTTTATTATAGATAGGAAAGTTCTTAATAAGTACCATAAAAGAAAAGTTTGCTAACCACCCGACAAGGCTGTCACCGAGAAATTTTGATAAGTTTCTATAATAATAAGAACCAACAAAGTTTAACATAAATAATTCGTTTACCCGTATATACAAAATTTAGTGCGCACATATAACAGAGAGTATATTATACATAGGAATCCTTTATCACGTTTTACATTTTCTATGATCGACATCAGATTATTGAGTTCAATTTAATAATAATATCACAATATACAATATTTGAGAGAGAAATAGTAAAAGTTGTTTACTATTAATTACATTTTAAACGAATCTTATTTATTTCCAATATACTGACAGTATATCTACGTATTTTAGTTTCCTCTAAAATAGTTTATATGGGAAATTGAATGCAAAGTATAAATCAATTATACACGCGTATAATTTAATGTAAATTATAAATTAGTTTATAATTAGTTTAGAAATAACAATTAATATAATATTAAAATATTGTAATAATGTATTTTTCTATTATTTTCCATTTTGTATTTTTATTATCCATGTACAATATCATAAAAGCATAAGTCTATAATATTAATTTATAACTTATATAAGACAGAAAACTAAAAACATTGAATGTCTTCCTACACATTTGTACTTAATAAGCTTTGAAAAGTATATTCTAAATCATAAACAAAATCGTTACTTCATTATAATTTTTGTTTTCCGAGTAGACTGTTTGAGTTACTCGATTTAATTTACATAAAAGTGAAGCTTTTATAAAGCTTTATTCTTAAAGGTCACGTGTAACAATAATAATACGCTATTATAATAAGAATTTAGGGGTCAAAAACCTGACGCTGGCCAAATTAGGCACTTTACCGAACAGCAGAGCTTGTACAAAATTACAGCATGCAAAATAGCTTATAACATAATGTTATGGTTATAAGTTATAACATTATTATAACCATTTAATCGATTATATAGTTAATATAATGTAAAATAGATATAAAATATCTCATAACAAACAATGATTAAATGTAGAGAGACAATTTTAAATATAGACAATAGCCAGTTTATTTTAATCATTAATTTTGTTTATACAGCAGTAACATTGCAGGTTGTAACATTTCCATTAACTAAGTAAATATAATATATATACCTGTATATACATCAACATTTAATTATTTTAAGTACCTACACAAGTAAAAATTAATTAAACAATCGATTTTTGGCTTTTAACGATTTATTTTCAAACACTGTGCCGGCGGTAGATGCCAATCACAAGGGTTCAATTCGACCAAACCTAACATTTAAATACACACGTATATACAATAATATATTCACCTATATCTAGGTACCCGCAAACCGTTTTTAAACACGACAAATAACGATTGGAAAAATATCTAAAAACTTTATACAAGCGCAATAAATTCACCTTTTTAACCCTTTAAACGATGCCGTTGCACAAAAATTGCTGCTGTGTCCGAAAGAGAAACACAACGCAACAACAGAAATAGGAATTTTAAAAGAAAAATTTGAATGACATAATATTAATTATCATAAACGTCATTATTACCCACATCGCTCTGACCGTATATGCCCATATTATACAGGAAAGCACCGGAAATCTATGGCGGCCAAGGATCGAGGCGGAAACAGTGCGGGCGGCGGTAGCCGGAAGAAGAAACACGAACCGCCGCCGAAGCCCATACCCGAACAGGACAGACACATTTGCGGACTGATATGCGTGTGCCAGCTTACGTTCGTGTTGAGTTCCGTGTCGCTGGTGTACCTGTCCGTGGCCATCTACGTGCCCGGCTACAGGGCGTTCAACGCGGCCATCGAGACGGTGCCGCTAATGTGCCAGACAATCAACTCGACGGTGTCCAACAACTGCGAGTGGGCGTCATGCGGCGAATGGTGTCTGACGAAACCGTCGGGCAACTGTCCGCAGTACCTGGTCACGGTCCGGCAAAACGGCACCGAAATCGGGGTAGAGAACTGCACACGGCTCACGAGCGTTTCATGTCCGCAGGCAAGTTTCCAAAACTATATACGTACGCTGTCGCGGGTGTTGGGTTTTTGTTTAGGTTTTTTTTGTTTACCGCACGCGACCGCGTTGTCGTGTTTCTCGACCCCGTATAAAATACATTTCGACCCGCGGTCGACTAATTCAGCCACCACCGGCACCGCCAATTCTAAAGCCAAAACCACCGATACCACGTGTGGCCATCGTAATTAAGTAGGTACATAATATCGCCTAAAGCCGAACGCGTATTATTAAATTTCACGTCGACAGAAAAACACAAACTGCCGTGAAATTATATTTACAAAGGTATGTGTGCAACATATTCGAGTAAAACACCGTGCTTTTCGTCCATAAAAAATACGATTCCGTCACGCAAGTCGTATAGGTCGACTGTAAGGTACTAGGGTGTACAGAAAAAAATTATATTATAACTTAACATTGCATAATATATATAAATTGCAGTAAGTACAACGTATAGTTGTGTAATAAACGCGGCGCGCCGGTTTAGCACGCGGCATTTCGTGATCGAAGAAATAACCAAAAGTCAAGACGCAATTATTATTAAAACTACAAATCAGAAAATATTTTTTCACCGAATAAAAATATAGCCCCGGTATATTGGCGAAGACGGTAAAAAACTTCTATATACTGTGTGATTAACCAATCTGAAAAAATGCTCAAACCCGTCTTTCTTCGTTAATGCATTTGATTTTTGAAATTTGTATACAATATTACTTATTAAGACAATATTTTAAAATTCTTGAGATTTTTTGTGCTACTTAACTACTCTAGGAGTAATCTTTTATGGAAGATATAAATTTCTCTTTTTAAAATGAGAACCCCTTTCCTACTATAACTATTGAGTAGATACTAAAGATAATAAGTTCATGGTAATGAGTTTGGAAAATATGGGAGGTATGGAGATTTGAAAATGATTAATAATTTGTAAAAATGGTCCGAGTATATAATTAATACTAGATCCAAAATTACATCTAAATTATATTATTTTTAAACAATTTTTAAGGTCTACTATCCTTATTTTAAACATTTTAATAAATGAGAAACTACTCGTTAAAATTTCGAATTAGGTTCATCATAATTTTTAAAGAATTACCCACTATGAATAATTTACAGTAAAAAAGGGAGAAGTTTTGGTTTGAAAAACTGAAATTTGTATCGACACACTTGCATAAGTTATTCGAAAAAAGTTCAAGAATTTGAATATTCCAACAATAATCAGAATTTGAATAGATTTATTACTATAGGACAAATTAGGGTTAAGCATGCTTGGCGAATCTAAGTATAGATATATATTATAGTATACGAGTATTATATTGTATGACTCGAGCAGCACCAAAAAGTATATTCCAAACAAACAAAATAAAAACATGATGACACACACACCCCATGATCGACCCGTTGCCACTAGCCGGCGCATACGTGGTAAAGTTGCTGAGCGCATACAAAGCAACTCTATATATTATTATCATAGGCGCAACTAGGGGGGTGCTAGGGGGACTTTAGCACCCCCAGACTAAAAATTAGCACCCCCAAAAATTCAAAGTCAAATCCTTGATTTGTAAGCTGTAGGTATTTCATTATTGTACCTACCTATTCTGTTCAAATTTTTATTTTAGAATAATTTATTTATATTTAATGTTTCGAAGATAGTTATATTAGATGACAACATAGTTTGTCATGAGGTCTACAATATAATATCATGATAGCCGATAGGTAAGGTATATTGCATTGGGAATTTGGTTGTGTTAATAGTTATTTTTAAACTGTTATATCTACGTAATCCGCTACCCGTATGTTTTCCATTATATGCGTTATCGTTATAAATTATAAATATAACTTATAACATTACACAACAGTCGACGAGACGACGACACACGTTATACAGACATACAGTACCCAAAACTTGAACTGCCAACAGGTAACAGTATTCCGTCTCCGTAAATCTGAATTGATAGGTATTTAAAATGTTTAGTATTTTTAAAAAACGGAAACCTAAAGCTGATATTGACGATCCTGGCATGGTTGACATTTCTACTAATAGTACTACTCATACAAGTGATACAACTCTTGATTTGGCCGATTTGGGAAATAAAGATTCCGGCCCATGTCGTCCTATACTTACAGTAAGATTTATTCTGTTTACATATAAAAACTTAATAATTCGTTTTATGAGTTTTTTTAAATAAATAAAATAAAATAATAATAATAAAACTATAATAAGGTGTTTTTCTGATTAATTTTATTATTATTTATTAATTAGGAATATAAAAAAGGAAAAGGAAAAATAAATAAAGAAGCTTTTCCTAACTTGTATAAGCTACTTCAAATTGCAATTACAATCCCAATAAGTTCTGCAACTTGTGAACGTAGTTTTTCTAGTATGAGACGTATCAAAAATTGGCTAAGAACAAGTATGTTGCAGCAGCGCTTTAGTGACTTGTCAATTTTAAATATTGAGAGGGATTTATCAAATAAAATACAAACGGAAACAGTGTTAGATAGATATAACACAAAAACCAGGAAAATTGTTTTAAAATAATAGATTATAATATGTTATCTAAAATCTAAATAGTTGTTATTAGTTATTGTAATTAATTATTAATTATAATGTTTTTAGTGATTGTTCCTTAATATTAATCATTATCAAAATATCAAATGTGTTATCATATAAATTAATATAAATATGAAGTTGAGTTATAAAAGCATGTTGTTAATAGCTTTGAAGTTGTGTGTTGGTGGGGGAAGCCCCCCACGGGTTACCAAGGTATACTAAATTTTAGCACCCCTTAAATTGCAGGTCTAGTTGCGCCTATGATTATTATCATTGTCAGAACTCGTACGACTAACCACGCGCTTTTCCCCAGGCGAATCCGGATACACTGAAACGGTACAACTGCAACAACAACAAAGAGTGTCTGGGTCTCACAGGTATCATGGCTTGTAGGCTGGGCCACTGTTCCAACATGTCAGAGCTGTACCAGTGTTACTACAACAAGAGCGGATCGTCGATCAACAGCGACACAGACAATTTGAAGCTCAACGGCTATTTCATCTGTGACAACGGGAGGTAAAAACGGCGGATTTTTTTCGACTCGTCTGCACCGCCACCGCAGACGGTCATCATACAGCTACAGTCGAATTATCGTTTGATAGTTAAAATACATTATTTTTTTCTCGCGTTTTCAAGTTGTTTCACGATTAAATGGCCATTTGACTGTGATCGATACTGTAACAAAATCACGACGACGGGTGTGAACGTGTTCCTGCGATTAGGGGACACTGTGCACACGGGCGACTGTCAGCGAGTGGTGGCGTACAACAAGGCCAACGGTAATGCGGCGCATGGGGAACCGCTTGCGACGCCCAAAGAGATCTGGACCGACGATAACTCGACCATCGGCATATTCATGGCCAGCTGTAACGGCATAACGAGAGACAGCGTCAACTCTCTGAGGTAAGTGCGGGCAACTTATATAAGTTTTTTAAACTCATTTTTAATTTAATATTTTTCATCTGCTGTTGTTGTCACCTGCAGGGCCTTCGACTGCATCAACGGCACCGTGCTCAATGAATCGCAAATGCCGCAACTGTTCATAAACTTCACGACGTTCTGGACGATATACGAAGCAAGTGATCGGCCGCTCGACGAGACCAACACGTTCGTGCCCGCGCAATCCGCCCTCACCATCTACAACTCCACCAGACTGTACATCAACCAGCAAGGGTGCGTGAATACGTTGCGCAACGAGTGTAAAGACTTCAGCTTCACGCATGGCCGAGCCGGTGATAACCACACGGCCTTAAGCCGGTTCCCGTGTTTTTATACAAAGGTAACGTACCTCCCGTAATTTATTCATTATTTTATTCGTTTTCCCCGTAGTAATAATATAAAATCCCGGCCATGTACAGTATATTATACATAAATATAGAGGGGGTAAGGTAGGAGTTGTGGCTTGAGCAGAAAGCATGGTAGTTACTAGTTTTTATATTAGGTATATTTAGGTGGCGCAAAAAAAAAATATTATATCAATAAAATCTATATGATTCCTATTTTTAACAAAATAGTTTTTTTTTTCTACGAAAATATTAGTTGTTTTCATGAGTATATGAACATTTCGAACTACTATAAAAAATTCCCTATTGAAAACGTATTAAAACAAAAGTTTCTAAAACGGTTGCCAGATGCCAATGACTGCTTAACCCCCAATAAATACTAACAACATTATATGGTCATATATGGATGTGTTCGACGTCTGTACCTGTTGCCTGCGTAAATCGGTTTTCGATAAAGTACTTAACATAATTATATAATACGCACATCATAAATTGTACGACTATTCTATAGCTGTGTTAAATATAGCCATATAGGTATGTGTCACTCAGTAAAAACGAAACAATTACGACGAATACTACCGGCCGTATTACGAATGCGTATTCAAGAAAAATGGATCAATACCTAATTATTTTTACCCATATGTTAAAACATCTGTATTTGTTTAGATTGAAACGAATTTATTTTCGCGATGAAAGATTACAATATAATGTAAAATTATAGTTCTAAAAATATATAGCAATAATAGATGTTATTCAGGGGTATAGCTTGATAAAATTGCATTTTATTATACAATTATATAATATGTTTTAATTATTATGTACGTAGCCTTCGAAATGTTTGTAAAATAAAAAGTGGCCCGCTCCCTAATATAGTTGATGACTCGTGTGCTAGAGGGACTCGTCAAATAACCGTTGTTGATCGACTTGACCAAGTATACGAGAAATATCGGTAAATTTTTGCAAAAATCCACTTTTCATGTTTGACAAGGGAATTAAATTTTAGATTTTTCACAGTGGTTAACGCCTGCGTTGTTGTTGTTGTTGTTTTTGATACAGAACGATTCGTTTTCGGCGCTGGCCCGTTTTGACTTAAACAAGACGTGGTGGGAACTGATGGTGGGCGTCACCGTGCCCGGCATACTGTTCGCCGTGTCGTTCCTGACGTTGCTGATCGTCCACCAGACGGTCAAGGTGGGCGATGACGCCCGCATGACTTGCCAGTGGTGCGCGGACGACGACGCTGGAGCCGCGGCCGACGAGCCGTTCATGAAGCACATCGACAATCAAGCGGCTGCAGGTGGCGGTGGCCGAAAGCACCGGAAGCGTGGCGAGCTGCAAGAGCTTAGTGTCATCGAAGCACTGGTGGCTAGGTCAGCAGACATGTCCGTTGGTGTCGACGGTAGGCATTTAGTTGATGCCCCGGACGTGTAGATTGATGCCGTTACAACAACATAATGATATTATATCGTTTTTTATTCGACGGTTGAGCGAAAACCACCCGGTCGCCCGCACACGCGACCAAAACGGTATAACGCGCGGAAATCGAACGTCAGGCCGATAATTATTAATACAATATTAGAACATAACGATATAATAACAATAGTGTTATTATATTATTGTAATACCATTTTCATTTCGCGGACGATTTAAAAAGCTTTTGCAAACATTTTATTATTCGGACTCAAATATATAAGTATATAAGTTATATATTATAAAGCGTTATTTTTTCTATATATCGACTATTTCATACGCCAAGTAATAAAATAATATAGGTACATAAGTAAGTTATGTGTATTGAATACACATCCACCACGCATTACGAGTGGATAATATGTTAAAAATTTATAATTAGGCAAATATTCCGACCATCAAAAATTATTCTTAAACATTGCGTTGATCATAATATAATTGTAGTCTTTTTTTATTTAAAGACTTTTTGTAATCTTTTTTTTTACATATATTTCTTATTATTATATTATATTATATTCACTAATATCGTTTTTTTTTTTAGTTTTTTTTATTACGCTAAAATAATATATTTGTATTACATTTTTATGTTTTATCACGTTTAAATAAATATTAAATTATTTTCAAGAATAAATGTATTTTAAAATTTAAGCCCGGTGTATTAATTCTGACGCCACTACATTATTACATCAATATCCAGTGGTGTATTGGAGGGTATACGCGGGTATACGTCGTATACCCGGATCCCTATTTTTGGATTTATGCGTATACCTTTAAGAAAATTAGTCTTTTATGGGTATACGCACGCTTCTAATTTATCATCAGACAATTTAGGTATATTATCACCAGGGCTCGTAAGTTCATGCATCTGCATGTTTTTTTTGCTACACAGGAAAACATGCTAACTGAGATACAAATCCGTTTCATAACAATAGTAATAATAATATGAAGTTTGATAGTGCATGTTTTTGCATGTTTTGGGTGTAAAGTCATATTTGGCATATAGTTGATTTTTTACAGTCGTTAGTGCATATTATTTCATAAAAATATTTTTTAGACAAATATTTGAAAAGTTTCTTCCGATTTTTGATATCTTGTTCCAATCGTCCAATATCGCATGGTAAATTATAACGGTTTTTTAGATTTTTTATTGATTAATTATTTAGCTAATTAATAAAAATATCGAAAATCGGGCTTCTTACGATTGTAAAACAAGTTCTACTCTACAATTTTTATAATAGGTATTTTTACTGTAAGCCACTTTAATAAGCCGTATTACTTGAATTACGAAACCATGGTTTTATGCCATATTTTGTCTACTAGTGCGCCCTCTTAAGTTGGAAAACATAAAAAATACACTTATAAAATATATATTACTAAATTATGTCAAAATGAAAAATCTAATATTTAATTCCAAATGTTTTCATTGTTGGTGCTGAATAAGGGTGTACACAAATTAGACAAAAATGACTACCTAATTAAAATTTATAAAGATGACAAAGCTATTTGAACTTCACAAGTATTAATTTTATTTTTTATTTTATTAATTTTGACTGTTAAATATATAAAAATAAAAAGGAATAAAATACTTTTAAAATGTATGGATTTATTCTAATTTTAAAATTTGGTCATGTTTTTTTTACATAATGCATATTTTGAGTTCATAATTTAAAAATGTGAAGGCATATAAATGCATATTTTCGAACTTTTAAGTGCATATTTTGACAATTTTTAGTGCATGAATGCATGCTTATTTATGCATTTTTTAGTGCATGAAGTTACGAGCCCTGATTATCACCAAACAAAAGTAAAAACTTAAAAATAAAAATAATAATAACCTAAATTATATTTAGTTATAATATTTTATTATAACATAAAGTGCACTGTCCAAAAATACTAAAAATAGCCCCGTACCCGCATGAAGTTCGATTAAATTTTACCCGACGTTTTCTTGCGAAGACGATCTGAAACTGCCGAGCAATACAATCAATCAATGAACAATCAATGTACAGCGGTTCCCAAACTGTGAATAAACATACGTAATTTCATTTCAAACTAAATGATAATGACAAATTAGAATAATAATAAAATAATTATTGTTGATGTATTGTGTTATTACTTGTCATCCAATAACCAAATTATAAAATCGAACTATTAGTTTCTCATTATATTAATTCTATTAATTTTGAAATTCTTTTAAATTTGTAAAATATTTTATACAAATAAAATCTATATAAATATTTGTATACAAATATATTATAATATTATATGATCGATAATGGATAATAAACGTACCGCTACTTCTACTATATAAGTATTTTACTGTACAATTGTTTTAAAATTTGATAATAAAAAGTTGTACTATTTATGATATATATCATATATGAATTGGGAACAAGTCTAGTTTACCGGGCACATATTTTTTTTGAAATTTTTTTTTTGAAAAGGGTTGTTTTGACGAGTTAAGAACGATGGTGACAAAAATAAAATTGCGGAAATGATTATTTTGGAAGTTATAGCTTCCCAAAGTTAACGATTTTACGTTTATACGCGTGCGCGCAACACTACTATAATGCCGCGCGGAGGACCTCGAGTTTGGCGACCGTTTGGCAACCCTTTTAAAAAAAAAATTTCAAAAAAAAAAGGTGCCCGGTAAACTAGACTTATACCATGAAATTGAATTAATTAAAAAAAAATAATACATTGATACTTGGTACATATATTACACACAGTGGAGTATATATGAATTAATTTTATGGTTGTGGGTGAATATAGGGCGAACTGGGGGGCGTATATAGGGGGGTATATACGCCACTGCATATACATATACACATGAAGAGTAAGTGTTTGTAATAAAGTTATAAAAGATTATTAAATACAAAGTGTAATCATTTTTTGAGCGGAGCGAGAAAATTTTTAAGGTAGGTATATCGTATATATAGGTATATACTATATTCAACTACTTTTAGGTGCGTATACCCATAAATTTATTTACCAATACACCACTGTCAATATCCATTAATAACTATATGTATATACACATGTCAGATATAGAATATCGCTTGTCTTTACAATGCCATTACCTGCCTTACAATTCCTGACATATTGACGTTTACATTTTGAAGCCGGCACGTTTAATACAAAGTGTACTTACTACATGTACCGTAAAAATCAAATATTTTTACTGGAAATATTGAATACATTTACAATTATTACATACAAATTACCAAAAAAAAAATCAATAAAACCAGCTGTTTGGTAAAACTAACTAAAAAATACACTATATATTATATTCGTATATCGTTTATTTATGATCAAATATTATACACGTCATACCACAATCAACCTGACACTTGTTTTAGTCAAATAAACATTCAAATAGGTAAGCAATTTTTTGTCCAACAACTAAAAAAATTAGATTATAATACTTTAAAATACTGTAATATTATTGAAGACGCGATAGTATAAGGTATAATGTTCATTTACAAATTTATATGTTATAAGTTACGAATAAGCGACGATAATTCAAGATGGTAAATCATTATATTATAGACAACGTCATACGGCGCAAAGCGTGTCAATTTTACCAAAGACTTTATAATATGCTTAAATTGTACGTATACGTTAAAGTACGGGAACCCACCCTAAATAAAATAAATTAAAAAGAACTGTCGTAGAGTAACAGTACAGACGTATTTCTGTGCCCCTTGTGAGTGACGGCGTAAGACATAAATTTTCGATTGGGTATTAAAAACAATTTTTAAAAAATAGTCAATACAAACATCGATCACTCTACGATCTACAATAATGATAATTAAACTGGCCATTATTTTGAATAATAAGTATTAGGAATGGTAATCAGATATAATGTATTAATATTGTAAAAGAAAATTGACTAAATTTTTAAACTAATATTAATTATATATTATATATACCTACCTACATATATCTAATATATTATATTATTAATTATTAATATATTTATGAAAACGTAATAGAATATTTTGTATTTTCGGACTTTAATCTGACAATAAGAATGTGCTCGGATTTTTTGTCCAAATTTTTTCAAAACGGATTTTTATCCCTGGACTTTTTGACCGATTACCCGCCTCTGCAGTAGGTATCAGTGTTAGATCTGGCGGAGATGCCCCAGGGCCTCAGGCTGAGGTTGTTTTAGAAGCCTCGGGTTGATGTCCAAAATTTTCTAAATTTGTATATATATAAATTACTAACAATATTTAATAATAAAATAACGGTCAAGAAAAAATGATTTAAAAAAATTACCCACTCTTTATTTAAAATTATTTATTTGTACTTCGAGTAATATACGCTGTAACGTATCATTGGCAGGGAATACAAAACAAAAAATTGGGCCCTTCACTCTAAAAAAAAACCAAGTAATAAAATTATAATTAATTGTCATTAAAATATAAAATGTTTTGGTTATTTTTATAAGAAAATATTTATAGTATTTTGAACTTGTCTACAACTTATTTAATAGGTATCAATTAACTTTGCCTACTTAAACATTATAAAATATAAAATAAACACATTTTCGTCTTTCGTGGCAATTTTTTTTTTTAATAATTAACAAGTATTGTGGGGCTGAACAAAAAAAAGCCTTCAAGGGTATATTGTATATACATGGAGCCTTTCTTGATGTCGTGTGGGAATACGAACCCCATAAACACGCCTAAGTGCTATAACATTGCTATAAAATTGTAGTCGCATACCGTTCTATGTTAGTGCTCAAGTATGGAAGATTACCGTCAAAAGCTGTCACCTCGGGCGTCACACATACACCGGTATCACAGTATTCATTAGTTGAAAAAAATACTCACCTTTAGGGCCAATTTTTAAATTTGAAAATATACTATACAAACTACAGACAAGGCTAGACAACATTTTTTTAATATTTTAAATTATCTGCCTTGTGAAAATGGCAATAATGTACAATAGTGTAT